ACCAATTGTTCTTCTGTCGAGGAGGAGTTTTTGTCGTATATGGTAGACAAAACTACCGAAATTACTATGCTTAACCGGTACCCGATTATTAAGAAAGCGTACCTTAAATATAATACACCCTTGCCATCTTCGGCCGCAGTAGAAAGGCTTTTTTCGTTTGCTTCCTTACTGAATACCCCACGCCGTGGAACGCTTTCTGACAACAAGTTCGAAAAATTGCTGTTGCTAAAAGTTAACGGAGACGTATAACTAAGTAAACATGTTCTCATGCACTTTGTTGTATTTTCATGTACATAATACCTACATATTATGTACATACATATAATAAATACAAATTTATTGCATTGGAAGTTTTTGGAATTCATTGACATTTTCTAAATATTTTATATATTAACTACTGGGGTTTTAGTTAGGCTTTTTGTATACTCATTTACTTATTTTCCAAACAAATAAGTATTATAATTCTATGAAGAAGTGCGCGCAAAGATTGCTTTAGAACTTCATTATTCACCTCGGACTGCAAAAATGACTAATTAGTCATGAATAACAGAAAATACTAATGACTTCAAATTTGCAGTCTTTAGTCAAACATGTGATTGTTTGGCTGCAGTTAATAAGCCTTAGTCAGTGAATGTGACTGCAACGATTTAAAGTCACGAAGACTGCATTCTTTAACACCTCTGCTTCTAAATAATCTCTGTAAGTATCTCGATAATCGAATATTTTACGTAAAAATTCTTCTTTCATTCCTCTCATTTTTAATCGAATATTGCCATGTATTTTGCACACGCAAACATTGTGTGTACCTTTAGCACCCACTAAGATACACTGCTCGGCTCTTAAAAGTCTAAAAGCTGACAAAGAAATCTTTAAATGAGGATTTTCTTTTACAAACTCAGAGTGTAAATCATCGAGATATCCCAACAGCAAACGTTTCTAAAAAAAAGTAATCTTATTTACTTTAAATATTAAATAAGTATTCGAAATAATTAATAATAAATAAAAGATTGAAAAAAATTATAAAAAAGCTTTTTATACATAAATTATTATCATAACATAGCTATTTTTTTTTAATTAAATAATTTATAAATTAATCAAAATATTTAGTATTGCTTACTGTTTCGTGTTGACGTTTACCATCAACTTTGTTGAAAATTGATGAACTTAAAACATTTTACACCTGGCATTACTCTGCTGACGTTATCAGAAAGGTAAAAGTCTTTCACTTTTTCGGTCAGATCCGAGCTCATACCTCGACGCACTCTCTTATCAGGTTGACTGCAGTATCCTTTGTTTTCTTTTAAATTTTTAGCCGAAACAACTAAACGTCTGCTCACGCCGAATTCTCTAGCTATTTTTCTAGTTGACCACTTCACTGGTAATGTTGTAAATAAAACAATTTTTTCTCCTCGCGTCGATGCATTTGACAATGCTATTTTAAAATCACTTATCCAATCATCACAACCGTTATCGGTCAGAATACTTGAATTGTTACTGTTTAAAGATTTTTTTAGAATTTCACTGTCTGCTCAGATATATTTAACTTAATTTTTTTTTGCAGGGTTAACTATGATAGCTTCATGAACCGCAGCTGCTAATTTTAATATTTTATTCATATCATCAACATATTTACACTCATAGTTTTTATCTTCTTTCGAAACATGTGATAATTCTAACTCTTCTTCGTCTTCATCACTCTGTAAGTTACAATTTTCTACACCCTGCTCTTGTTTATTTAAATCTTGAAATCGAGTGGAATTTTTCATTTCATACAGTCGTCTTTTACACGAAGCACAAACGAATGAACCATGTAAACCACTAATCTTTTTATCACATTTTTCAGATAAAAAATGTTATTTTTTCTTACGCAATAATTTTTGCGTTTTTTTTTTTGAAAGGATTACAACACTTATGTGGTGGCTCCATGATAAAAATAAAACAATTAATGCGAGCGAAATAACAAATGCAAGCAAAGCGTGCAATTGTCATTTGTTTTTGCGTTTACTTAAAGCTAGGTAATCGCAGCGCTCGGCCTAGTGCATCCGCCCTGGCCGCTATCTAACACGTTAAATCGATCAGATCTTTTTTCTGGTAAGATAGCACTAAAATTTTCTTGTGCAGTCATTTAGTTAATAGTTAAATGAATATTTTTGCTAAAAAAACATTTTTTTCTACAACACCGAGAAGTTAGTTAAATTACCATTTGTTTATTGTAACATTAATTATTTATAAACTATTTTTTTTACGTGAATTAATTTTTTTTCTGTTCTCCTACTATTTTTCAACATACAATCCAATTTTTATTGAGATTCAATAGTTATTTGCTGATATATTGTACTTAAAAAAAAATTTCTAAATTTTCAATCCCTGATAAATTTTTGAAAAATTGAAATTTTCAAAAATCGTTTTAGGGCATTACTTTTAACTTATAAACCTTCCAAAAAATGTTAATGGATACATACAAATCGAATAGTAGATTTTTAGTGGCCCGCTTAAGAAATTTTGACTCATAGTGGCATAACCCAAAGTAAAAAATTTTAAAATTGGGGTTATGCCACTTGGGACTCTGTCACGGCACCATCCTAGATATTATGTATACTCAAATATATACGTTGTTTCGATGCACGTTTATTTTATCCGTACTATGAAATAAGGCTATTTTCTATGGTTCAAATGCAATTCAAGTTAATAACAATGTCCCTTATCGTGAGTTTCGCCTGAAAACAAATTTGCCCGAATTTTTTTCAACCGTAGTGAATACGTGGAAGTGGAAAGTGAACGATTTCGGGAGAGGGAATGAACCGCCATTGACAAAAATGCAACCCCCGACCACCTAGGTCCCCTGGTTCCCTAGGGACCCCTTAGAAAAATTGCCAAAAAGCACAATTTTCATTTGCGTTTCTTCGCTTGAAATATGTTAAATATTCATTTGCACAATACATTTTTATATACACATTTTTATATACAAGACATTTTTATAAAACACCCAGTAACCAAAATAGACATTACTGGGCGGCAGCCTCAGGTTTACCACACAGAAAGGGAATTCTAGTTACCTCATCCTTTCCAAAGGTTTCATCACTGGGGCGGTAGCCCCAGTTAGGTCACACAGAAAGGAGAATTCTACATAATAAGGGTTATAATCCCTAAGCGCGGCCGAAGGCCGCCTACGCAGAAAGGGATTCTACGCAAAAATACTGTGGACGCAAGTAAAAATTGCGATTTTTGGCCATTTTTCTAAGGGGTCCCTAGGGAACCATAGGGGACCTAGGTGGTCGGGGGTTGCATTTTTGTCAATGGCGGTTCATTCGCTCTCCAAAAAGGTCGGTTTGAGGTGCCACGCCCACTCCCCTTCGCCCACCGCACCTTTAACGAACGGCCATAATGGAAAGTTTCCCCCATAAAAATGAAAATATAACGGCAATATTTCTTGTTTATAATGGATTAGATCCATCGCACACCACGGACTTTATCGGCCGCCGATTTAGATGGGCTCGCTAGTCTTTCCATTGCACCACAACTTATTGGTCGGAGCGATTAAGCTGGAGGAGTGTGCGCACCTCCATACATCTTCATGTACATATTTCAAGCGAGCCCTATTATTTAAATAGGCGGCCGATAAACTCTGTGGTATGCGGTGGCTCTTATAGCTGCATCCTTACACCTATTCCGTGTGTTGCAATATCCACGAAAGCAGCAGTTAACTTTTTATGAAGAAAAATATTTAAAAATATTCGAAAATTATTATTTATTTTTCCAACGTCAAAAGGTGGATTTTTTTTTGAAAAATTTGGTACAATAAAAAATACGAAACACGTTTTCAGTCAGATAGCTAACATGGCGGATAAGAAGAAGAAGTGAAACTACATTCTAAAAATTATTGTATCATGGTTGTGAGCTTTGCACTCGGTATACACTACATTTTCTCACAGTTACAGAATCCAGCTCCAGATGTGTTGCGGATTGAGCAGGAAGTTTTATTCTGCATCTATTGTAAGTGCTTAATATCAGCAACAAATATATTTTGTGTGAAGCAACACTTCAATAAAATGTGGCAATATTTCCACCTGGAGAATTTTTTATCTATTAAGCTCCGTACATACATGTATGCAATGTGAATTAAACAAGGTGTAATTTACCCTCTTTTAAGGTACTATTATGCCAAAAAATATACACAAACGATTCAAAATTCACAAGCAAATTTTTCAATTTGACTTTATATGTATGTACAAGAAATTTTTATGCTTTAATCGAAAAAAATGTTCGTTATATACATTTTTGGGGCATATATCAAGCATATTTTTAATATTTTGGAGTCATTTTAATGATCATATAATTATGTTTTTTGTGCATGTTTCTGTCTTCCTACAAATAACATTCAATAAGCATTTTAAGTCTCAATAAAACATATTTGATCTCAACCTTAAATGTTTAAATTCCTTAAAGAAGTATGATTTTTATGGACTCCTTCAAAATGCCTTCAGAAGTGTGTCCTACAAAAGCCCTTCTGGAAGCTCTTCTTTGAGTAGCGAAAGCAGAAGCCCTTCAATTTGTGCCACTCCATACAAAAAAGGAAGGAGAAAGGAATGACTTTCAGAAGTGCCTTTTTGAAGAGATTTTAACTCCTGAAATTATCTACTGCGTATTATGTGTGACACCTCAGCGGTGTACCTGTTCAGGAACTTGCACTTTTTTGGTATTTGCTTGAAGATACAAAATTAGATTTTAACCAAATAAACTAAACAGAAAGAAGGTAAACTCACCAGATATTGTTCAACATGTTAGAAAAAAATGTTTCATCATCGATTTTCGACTACTTATGACAGAAAGCTTAACCTTTTTTTCAAAGAAAAAATCTCCTAAAAATTAGATGGGGGTCCTGGAAAACCAGGACGTCTGGCAGCCCTATGATAAGCACATGCTATTTTTCAAAGAATTTCAAAAATTACAAATTTTGATAAATATACATTGAAGAATATGTCCAATATGTATATACTCACTTGGAAAAATAAATATCCAGTATATGAATGTTATGGCTGTCGCCATAACCAAAGTGGTCCAGTAGGATGCCCAATATATCTTTAACGCCAAAGGATGTACAGCTACATACATACATATACATATGTATAAAAGGGTTAATAGCTGCCATGTAATTTTATAATGAAATGTCTATAAATGTTTACCTAATTTATCCTGGCTACAGTAGTGCATAGTTGCTAGTACAGCACCAAAATTACCTGTGTATAAACACAACAAGAAGCCCCAATCGGTTAAGTAGATCAACCATTTACCCTCACAGAATGACTCTATTAGGCTGCCGATCACACCAACCCCAAAAGAGAGAGCAAACAGCCAGCGATACATAAGCCATAATAAAGATTTGCTTTGATATTGCCACTAAGCAATGGATTAAAAAATATAATTAGTTTTGAAATTTAAATGCATAAAACTGGTATGCAGCTCTCAAGAAATCGGTCAAGAAAAATTTGCCATTATTTCGTGTGTGTGTCAAAGGAATTTTGACATTTTTGATACTTCACAGCCTGTTGCCTCACTCTTTCTTCAAGAAATAATGGAACGGGCATATATTTCTGTTGCAAACCTGGGTTGCCTTGTGCTCTTTTTTCACAAAAAACTTTAGAAAACCGTAGTAAAAAGCGTAGCAAATTTCTTAAGAACAGCGTACTGCCTGAAGGAAATTTGACTTAAGAAAATATCTTAGCCATTTCTTGTACGCCATTTTGTATTGAATTTTAGCTTTTCTTGAGAACTGCATACAGGCCTATACATACATATATTAGTATATGCCCACCTGAGATTTGAAGAAATCATCCGAGGGCTCATGCACTAGCGATAATTTTTCGCGTTGAAACTCTTTGGCCAGTGGATGGCAAAGTTGATGGCAGATTCCTTGCTTTTCCCGCATCTATTGCAAATATAAGTATGTATGTATATTAAACATATGTATGTATGTCTTTTTTCTTTAACCCTGAACGTGCTTCGTTAGTCGATTCGACTAACAAAAATTGTGTTTCGCTTCGTACCTCTCTCTGAAGTCATTTACCTTTTTGTTTATTATATGTAGCCATGATACAAAAAGAGAAGGTAGTTTCATTTATTGACATTCTTTGTTGTTGCCGACCACTTTTAACAAGTTTATGTCATTTAACTAAAATCATTCTACCAGATTCACTAGCGGCAAAATTTTTGTTTCTTGAAAAAGTAAACAAAATTTTGAGGTTAGTGAAGTTGGATGAAAGTACTAAAAGAAAATTCTTGCGCGTTTCAAAACTGCAAGAATTCGGTACACCCGTGCAAAGGTTCGAAAATAAATTGTTTGCTTTTTCGAGGATAGAGTACATAATACGATCTAATGCAGTTTGATGAAAAATTGCTGACGGTAAATATTTTTAAACCCCTAAACGATGTACCGTTATCCGTGGAAGAGGGAGCAGGTCGAGTTAAAATGATGCCCTGCAACTTGTGACAGTACCTATTTTTGGATTCTCGGAATTTTCTGATAAAGATGTGGCGCTGCTAAAAAATATACATATGCACATACTATTTACATAAATATCAGCTCGAAACTATGTATTTGTGACAGTAATTATCCACATGAGATGAAAACTACTGCAGTTTAATTTTATAAAATTTTTGTTTATAGAAAAATGCATAAGTAAGACAGTTCGGACACGGTTCGGTTATTTGTACAATAATTTTGGGTTATCGTGTCCAAGCACGTGGCCCGAATTAAAAAATTTAAACATATACGTCTAGTTAAAGGATTAAGCTTTAGTCTAAACTAGCGATGGGCATAATGTGCCCATACGGGCAAAATGCCCAAACGTGCAAACCGCGGGCAAATGTGCAAACCGTTGGGTAGATGAGGTGGGGTAATTATGCCCGGGGGGGGGGAACAGAAAATTTTGCTCGACTTGCATCTGTATGTGTGATCGGAATGAGAGAACATGTATATGTGAGTACTCACGATTGAGATAAATAGAGATTGCGCCAATCGCGGCACCGCTAATCCGCTCTTTGTGATTTTGACTGAATGAGCTGTGTGCGTGACGTCATCTTGGTGCAATTGTTGATTGTGAGCATACGAAAAAAACCAAATAACAATTTCAATATTTCTGCGTTAATATTTCTGCGTGGATTTAAATAATTATGGAGACATTACAAGGCAAAATGAAGTGTGCCGTGGCAAAGTGTAATAGTGAAAACAAAAGGAATTGTTGCGTGGATTTAAATAATTATGGAGACATTACAAGGCAAAATGAAGTGTGCCGTGGCAAAGTGTAATAGTGAAAACAAAAGGAAAGCGTCCGATATAAGTTTTTTTCGTTCCCTACGGACGCAAATCTGGCGAAAAAGTGGAAGCAGTTGTGCCGGCGAGGAGATGCATTAAACACCAAATCGAGCTTTGTGCTATGTGTGTGAGCTATGAGCTTCTACATGGAACTATGTTGGCCTTTCCTTGGTGAATTGTAGTAGGTATATTTCCATCGTGAATGTAGACAGTTGATGGGTTTAGTTTTCTGGTAATGGCATACATATAAAAGCAGTTTCTACAGTAAATAGATACGTGAACTTCACTACCTACTTATTTTTGTTAGTACCTGATTCTCTTTAGTGCTGGTATGAGGTAATGCACCAATCTTACCGCGCTGTTACGTACCTAATACAAAACAGTGCCGAAATTATTATACATTTAAAGGTTCAGCTTAAATTATGTTTTAATTACATAGAATATTTGTTTCCAAAGAAGCCACACTCATACATCCTCTCGGATATGGTACAAAAGTCATCAAATAAAAGCTGTGGAGTTTATGGTGGTTGACTACCGTCCACAAATATAAATATGCACTCTGCATGGCTTTTTACAATGTCGAGTCAAAAAATTCGCTTTGCTGCACACCTTCCTTTTGGCATACATGAAATTGCAAACACTGTTAACACATCCCGTTTTTCATGTGCTAAAAATCGTACTTACCTAAAGGGGTACATGTCCAAAATTATTGCTACGTTTTCCTAATTAATCAATCTTTGTATATTTATTGATTCCTACAAAATTGGGCGATGTAATATTAAAATTAGCACATTTTTCTGCATTGATTACATATTTTTAAATGCGTTTTGGCATTTCTCTCTCGAAATTGCAAGAAAGATGACGTCACGCAAAAATTACGCTCAAAAATCCTCTCTCATTGGCGCAATCTTGTATTCTTGGTGAGTACTCACGAATGTGAGACCGCATGGCTGCCAACTTTCCTAAAAGCACCAAAACTTGGGACAAATCAAAACATCAAAAAATTTTTTGCAGTAAAATTTAATATGCATCAATATGCACATATGTATGTACATTAAAGTGGTCCAAAAATGTATGTAAAAAAAAACAAGGTTGGATTTTTAATGCCGCCACCCCCTAGGATTGTTATATACCGAAAAAAATATACCCATATTTTTTTATTTTGACATAAAAAATAATTTAGGTAGTGCTCAAAGCGCTCAAAGTTTTCCTTGTATTTTATATGGAGAAAAAACAAGTTTTCGTAGAAATAGTGTAGAATTCTTGAAAATCAATATTTTTCGATCCGAAAACTTTACTTATCTTCAGGAGATTCTCAGTAATAATACTCAATTGTTTCTTTAACAATTTTTTCATGGTAACTATATATAATATATGTGAATTGGGCCTCTAGCGTAAACTGATATAAAATGATGTACCTATGTGAATGGGGTTAATTGATATGTTTCGATTAATGCTGTATATTCGGTAATCGCCACCCATGCCTTCCGGTACGCGATTTCATAGGCTAGAGACACGCTAACCAGTGCTTTAATGACTTTGTTGCAGAACTTAAGAAGCTGTCAACTTATTGTGATTTCGGTGAAAATCTCAATGACATGTTAAGGGACAGAATCGTGTGCGGAATCCGTAGTGACAGTATTAGACAAAAGATGCTATCGATGACGGAGCCAACATACACTGGCATTGGCTGCCAGAGAAGAAGCAGTGGCAAGAGACACAGGTGAAATGAATCCGACTAGAGTAATAAGTGCAGTTAACTCAATCAAGAAAACAAGTGATGGCAGTGCAGAGAAGACAATTTCTTGTTTATGTTGTGGTAAGTTTGAGCACTCAAAAGTAGAATGTAAGTTCAGGTCTTATAATTGTTCATTTTGTAAACAAAAGCGTCATTTAATTCGAGTTTGTAAATTGAAAAGAAGAAAAGAAAACCCTCAAAATTATGAAAACAATGAGCAAAGGAACTGCATGAAGATAAATGGGTGTAATGCAAAAGAGAAAGCGAAAAATAAGCAAAATTATTTAGATGAAGTCATGCAAGTGACAGATGATTTTGATAATTGTTATACATTTTTCGAGATTAACGAAAACGAATCGGTTAATGAAGTGAAAGGGTATAAAGAGGTTAAAACTGATTGTAACCCTATTTATATCGAAATTAATGTTGAAAATGAATTACTTAAGTTTGAATTAGATTCAGGTTCACCAATATCAGCAATTTCAGAAAGAGAATTCAGAAATAACAAAATTTTTCACGATTTACGATTGGAAGGTACAATGAGAAAATTTAAGTCGTACACTGGCGACCCAATTATTCGTCGTGGAGTAATTACGGTCAATGTCAACTATGAGAATCAAAATAAAAAAACTTCAGTTATTTGTTTCACCAGGGAGCTCAACCCCAATCGTCGGTCGTGAATGGATGAAAGATTTAAAAATATTTAAGCTGATATCAAATGGAAAGATTGACTTAATTGAAAATGCAAACAATGTTTATTGTAACAGCTTCAATGCTGATAAATTATTAAAAGAATTTCCAACTGTATTTACGAAAAAATAGGTTGCTATAAAAATGAAGAAATGTCCTTTGAATTAAAAGAGAATGCCTCTCCAATTTTTTGTAAGCCTCGACAACTCCCCTACGCTATGGTGGAAAAAGTAGAAAATGAACTTAAAAGATTAATTAATGAAGATGTAATCAAGCCAGTTGAGTCTAGTGAGTGGGCGACTCCAATTGTTCCTATTGTTAAAACCAATGGTCAGATCAGGTTATGTGGAGATTATAAAATAACGGTTAATAAATGTTTAGTAATTGACAGGTACCCAATACCTAGAATTCAAGACTTAATAACAAAATTAAACGGCGGTAAATTTTTTAGCAAAATTGATTTAGACCATGCATATTTACAAGTGCCTTTAAATGAAAACTGCCAAAACTTAACAACAATAACTACGCACAAAGGTCTTTACGTATATAAACGATTATGCTTTGGGGTGGCTTCTGCTCCAGGTCTTTTCCAAAGGCTTATGGAGAAAACGTTAAGTGGTATTGACGGTGTAATTTGCTTCTTTGATGACGTGTTAGTAGTTGGTTCATCGGAACAAGAACTTTGGACTAGATTGCATGAAGTAACAAAACTGAAATATTGTGGCTTAACTGTTAAATTTAATAAATGTAAGTTTTTTGTAAAGGAAATCCAATTTTTGGGATTTAAAATTTATGAAAAGGGAGTTTTCGTTCAAGATGAACGCGTCAAGTCGATTAGTAACATGCCACCACCGAAAAACATAACCGAATTAAGGTCTTTTCTTGGCATGGCCAATTATTACGCCAAATTTGTTGCTAACGCCGATATAGTATATTCACTTTATTCACTTCTAAAGAAAAATACTAAATGGCTGTGGTCAACAAAATGCAAGGAAGCGTTCATTAATATTAAAAATAAATTGAGTTCTAGTGACGTGTTAACGCACTACAATCCATCTCTCCCAATCAAAATAACGTCTGATGCCTCGCCAGTGGGAATAGGAGCGGTAATTTCGCAAATTTATCCTGATAAAACTAGTAAACTAATTGCATTTAATTCTAGAGTATTAGCTCAAGCTGAAAAAAA